TTATTTCCATCTTCAAATGAGTAAAATGAAATTGATAGAAGTGTGTGTGTGTGTGTGTGTGTGTGTGTGTGTGTTGAGGGTGTGTCAGGACCAGGGTAATTCTGTGAAGTAATCTATCATCCAGAACCTTATTTCTAGAGGAAAAACGTTTCAAATACTAACCAAATAACTTGGATTAAAAATTTTAGAATATAACCCACTTATAAATTTTAAACTGACGACAGAAAATGCAAATCTGGGCCCGCCGCCTAATATTTTATTACCTTGTTTTTCTGCCAAGCAAAAAGATGTAGATTTCCTTTTCCGTATAGTTTTTCAAGTACTGATTTACTAGATCCCTGGAAATCTATTAACATAGGTCTATTTTTCTCTCTCACATTAGAATAAATAATTAATTACCATGCTAGAAGTGAGCAGATCCCCTCTATCAATAATAACATGTTTCTTTGGCAAGTTGCATAATGCAGTAGTTTCCAAGGAACTTCCTGCTATCAAATCTCATTACAAAATGGGGTTTATATTTTATTTAGTCTGTGTGGCTTTAAAATACATTCCACACTTTATTCCATTTTATTTTCTAGTTTTTCCTATCTAAGTTCAAGTTTTTAGTCATAGACAATCAAGCCATATTTGTTTCAGTGAATTTGTGAATCTTCTAAGCTCTTGGCTGTCTGTCCCTAGAATATCCCATTACTTCTCTACTGTGTTCCCTGACCACTTGTGCCTCAGCCAGTATACTTTCTTTGTTAAGAAATGTCTCTCAGGATTAGAGATAAATATTTAAAAGTGTTTTGAATAAGACTGGCTATTCCCTTTCCTATGGTTCCAAAAATCTCTCAACGTGTGATTAACAAAATGAGTCTGCATTTTCCTTCTTTTGGGAAATGAATAATCTAAGAGATGCAATCTGGCCAATTAATATCTTTATGAGGCTTTGATCTCTGTTAATGCTGCCACCACTTGGCCAACATTTTAGAATGATTTCAATTGTTACATGCTGGAATATAGCAACTATTTTTCCATTATTTCATAAAAAATTGTAAATATTAATACTAAAACACACACACACTTAAAAGATGATATGGACTGCAAGGTGAACAGTGACTTCTATTCCCACATCTTCTTCAGATAAAGAATTTTACCTGAATGCATTGCTTTGTCATTTTTCTTGTAGTTAGTATTTGTTATTGCAATGTAAGTTCCCTCATAGTTAGCACTTGCTATTAAGAAACAAAAGTTAAAGTAACTTGTCCAAATATATAAAGTCACTGTCAAGGCTAGGATTAGACCCCAGGTTTTCTGGTTCTTATCTCCTAGTCCTCAGCTTGATTCACAGGATTCTCTCCTTCTGATCTCTATTTCTGTAAGGCTGGTACTAATATCTCATCTAAACAGAAAGCTGTCATGGACAATACAATTGGTCGCTAATGATCTTCTGCAGGCTCCCATGGCCATCATCTTTGCAACTCATTGCAAAGCTCTTCCCAGTCCGTTCATTAAAAGTTGAAATTTGGGCTTCCCTGGTGGCGCAGTGGTTGGGAGTCCGCCTGCCGATGCAAGGGACGCGGGTTCGTGTTCCGGTCCGGGAAGATCCCACATGCCGCCGAGCGGCTGGGCCTGTGAACCATGGCCGCTGAGCCTGTGCGTCCGGAGCCTGTGCTCCGCAACGGGAGAGGCCACAGCAGTGAAAGCCCCGCGTACCGCAAAAAAAAAAAAAAAAAAAAAAAAAAAGTTGAAATTTATTTGCCCGCTAACCAATTGGTGTTATTCTACCTTTTGTTTGCAATGTGGATTTAGCACTAAGTGTGCAATTGAAAAGCTTCTCTCTTCATGGTGAATTTTTAAAGTATTGAGTTATGGTGTCGAGAATAATTACAGTCCCACTTATCTCCAGGATTCTGAATTATTCTCAGGTCATGTTTATGAGACATTTTGTCGGTTGAAACATGTTTTCCTTTCCCTCCCTCCTAGACATGTATGTTCCACAACAACTCCAAGTAAAAACCTGGCCATAGAGCCCAGCCTCCAGCAGAAGTCGGGGGACTTGGGAAGACAAGCAGGTGTCCTCAGATGGAAGGTCTGTTTGCCCAGACCCCCCGCCCCCCAAAAAAAGCAGGCCTTCAGCCACCGAAGAAGCTAGGAAAGCAGTAGATCTAGCTTGAACCTGGAGGTTGAAGACACATTTCAATAATATTGTGAGACAGGCAGAATGTGAAAGCCTGGAAGGGAGAGACTGGAAAGAATTCAAGAAGAGCCAGACTTTCTGGGTAAGTGGCAGCACAGACAGAACTCAATCCAGAAGCACTCAAGAATCCAAAGCCTGCATTAAAGGAGCAAAATGACTTGGGAGAAAGCACAGTGGGAGAATTGAAAACACTAACTTGTTATACTAATATTAGCTAAAGTAAATAGTGACCTCCATTTAAAAATTAACTTGTCCTCTAACTCTAAATGATTGGAAATTCGGAATTCTTTGGGAGTTGAAGCCATTACAAAGGGGCAAATAAGGGCTCAACAGAAAGAATAGACAGAAAGTCTCATGGGAAGTTCTAAATAAATTTTTATTCAAAAAAATCTCGAGCATTAAAACAAAATTGTGTCTTTGGAATAGGAATTAGACTTCTAGGAATGTATCCTAAAAGATAATCTTAAATAATTACATTAAAAAACTTTAAACACAAAGATGTCAATGTAATACTTTTATGATTAAAAATGAGCCATATAGGGCTTCCCTGGTGGCGCAGTGGTTGAGAGTCCACCTGCCGATGCAGGAGACATGGGTTCGTGCCCCGGGCTGGGAGGATCCCACATGCCGCCGAGAGGCTGGGCCCATGAGCCATGGCCGCTAAGCCTGCGCGTCCGGAGCCTGTGCTCCACAACGGGAGAGGCCACAACAGTGACAGGCCCGTGTACCACAAAAAAAAAAAAAAAAAAAAAGAGCCATATAAACTCTTAAAAACATGGAAATTGTTAACTAAATGATGATATACCATGGAAAATAAAAAAGTCATAATGTTCAAACAATTTAAAATATCTTAAGTTGTGCATTATGATACATCAAGTGAAAATATGAAACCTTTGGCATAATATTTTTATGTGCACAAACTGTAAAAATATAGATAATGGCTATCTTTTGGCAATGCAATTATGAGTGACATTTATTTCTCAATTATTTTCCAAATTTTCTAAGGAACATGGAAAGCAGTCTAACATAACACATAAAAACTCAAGGTCTGCATTTGGCTGTCTGGCTTCTGATTTTTACCAGCTTTATGATCTTGTATATTCTACCAGCCTTGTTATCCTGGGCCTCAGTTTCCTCATCTGTGAAAATGGGTTAATAATAATACCTAACTCATAGAAATGTTTTAAGGATTAAATGAAATAGTGTAAAGTGCATAGAACAGTCCGGGCACATAATTAACCATCTAATAAATTTTAACCATTTATTACCTTAAAAAAAAAAGAGTATGTCCATATGCACACACACATATTTAAGTTTTAAAACAAAGAAAATAATCAAGATGCCCATTCAATAAGACAGTTGAGTACTGTTAAAAACCCAATTTAAGCACACTTAGTTACCTTGCTTACTTAGTTTACTTTGAGAAGGACATAGGGAGGAACCAGGCAAAGACTAGGCTGGTCAGGGCCGTAGGTGTAGGTCCTGCCAAAGCAAAGCATGCCTCTTCCCTATAGCTTCATTCATCCCCGTTCCTCATGGATCATATTCGTCCAGTTCTCTCCTGATTGCTCACTGCTTTGGAGTGATTTGGGATTATTAATAATGTTTTATGAATATGACATGATAGACCTAGAAATATAGATTTTTCTACAAACCATTGAATGTGGGAAGTATAATGCTCAAACACTTTTTCTCCCCTCATCAAGGACCACAAACTCCATCTTCTCTACAGGCCAGCTGTAAAAAGGGAGGAAACGTTAGAAAAATGCATTGGATTGACTTTGTATATTTTTCTAGTTCCCTATAAGTTATAATAGTTCTCTCAGTGTCTGTCTTTGCTCCAAAGGGAACAAAGGGTGGATTGAAAGAGCCAATCTCTCAGAGAACTAAGCAATTTAATCCCAATTCTTCATTAACGATCTCTATCCATGGGGCTGTGTGGTTTAATAGAAAATTATAGACTGAATTTTAGCTCTGGACTTACTAGAGCTGAAATTGGGAAAATTATTTAATTTCTGAATGTTGAATTTTCCATTTATAAATGAGAAGCTATAGCAGTTATTTCAGAGAGTTATTGAAAGGATTAACAAAATATTACTTGGGGGGGCTTCCCTGGTGGCGCAGTGGTTGAGAGTCTGCCTGCCGATGCAGGGGACACAGGTTCGTGCCCCGGTCCGGGAAGATCCCACATGCCGCGGAGCGGCTAGGCCCGTAAGCCATGGCCGCTGATCCTGTGCGTCCGGAGCCTGTGCTCCGCAACGGTGAGAGCCTGTGCTCACGACAGTGAGAGGCCCGTGTACAGCAAAAAAAAAAAATTACTTGGGGTAAGATATGTGGTATATAGTAGGCATGCATTAAGTGGTAGCTACTACTGTACAGGAACTGAAGAACAAAAGGAAATGTGGAGTTTCCATAATGACAACAAGTACAAATAATTGCCAATATTTAACAGGTGCCGAGTACTATTTTGAGCACTTTACCTACAATAACACAGTCAATCCTCACAACAGCCTTTAGAGTTGGATAATATTATTTTACCCAAAATTAGTTTACACAATATTAACTTTTCTCTGTTTTAGATAGTGAGGTTACTAAGTATAAAATGTAGTTTGAAGTATGAAATATGCTTTGGAGCTCCATGCAACTCTATTAGTATTTGTCTTATAAAGTGTTTCTCTCGCTCTAGACTGTGAACTCTTCAAGGACAAAAACCAGATCTTTGTATTCCCAGTTTTTGCCTGGTTTATAGAAAACGTAAAATATATATATTCTAAAGTGAATCTATCTTCCTCCATGGATGAAAATCAGTACCGTGTTCAGTGCAGAAATTAATTTTATTTAAGATTTCAGTAGCTACAAAAGAATGAACTAAGTGTATCTTTGTCATCCACAATACATATTTTCACACTTGAAGATCACAGTTTATTGTAATTACCAAGATCATTCATCAGTTTGTATTGAGTAACAACTCAATAGAGATAGTTACATGGAGTGCTGTAGATTGCTGTTTTTGGACCTCTGCTGCCATTTCAGTGTTTTCATCACCTTCTGCTGAGTCCACCGAGTCAACCGCAACATAGTCCATTCTTTTCATCTGGTGTTGCTCTTCACTCAAGTCCTCTGTCCACGTAATTAACAGAATCAAATGTATAAAAATTTGGACCAGATATTAGACCATAGAAATAACCGGGGACCAGGCCACACTCTTCAGAGCCTTGTTAAGTGGCCACTAACATGGCTGAAGTGAGATACACTATTTGCTCATCAGAGAACTGCAAGCAATGTCATAGAATGCATACTAGCAAAAAGTCCTTATATATAATTCTTTTCTGCATTAAGACATCAAAGAAAGTGAACCCCAAAGAATGTTTAAAGTCATTATAATAAATCTGTCGGAAAACTAAAAATCTCCTTTAGAACAGTATTTCATGAAATCAATGAATTGCCTTCAGACATTTCAGGGGTTAAATGACTTTTGCACAATACATTTATTTTCTTGATTATATGAATGCTTTCAAAATAGGACTTTTACATAATTTTAAAATATTCATATGTAAGTGGTTTGTGGTCTAGAGTATTTCACCTTCTGAGTCATCATTTTATTGGCTTATGGAAATGCTATGGTTGTTCAGGAATGTGTTTTTATATTCCAACAGGGACATGGAGTAGTTTGAAAAGCCCATAATTTCCTTTAAATTTTACTCTCCAGTAATACAAGATGACACTTATTTAAAGATGCAACTACCTATGCTAATGGTTACTAATAAACATGTCCTTGGAAATAATCATGCAACCTTTTTTAGAGAGCAATTTTGATTGCTATTTGCAGGAACTGTTAATGTTTTTATCTCTTTAACTGTTTTAAGGGCCTTACGTAACTTTTAAATAAATGTTAGTCAAATATTGATTTCAACACTATAATAGAAAGATTGAGAATGCTGGGAGTGATATTATATAACATATCTGTTACACAGTGTATGTTAGAATGCTCCAAAATTAATGCATCACCCTCCTGAGAACTTCAAAAGAAGAAGCTAAGTAGGTAGGAAGGAATAGTACACATTATAGAGCATCAGTTTCACTTTCTAAAGTGAACGCTCAGAGATAATGGAATTAGACAGTCCTACACATTTGAGCAAAGGATTATGATTTATAGGACATGACTGGTGGCAAGTCAAATTGACTGTTAAGTTTATAAGTATATTAATAAAGACAATATCATATTGAATATAAACACCAGTTTCCTGGCAATCTAAAAATACAAATCCAACTACTAATAAATAAGGAGAAGAAAAAAGTAAAATACCGAGGGTAAGCCAAAGGTAGGTTAATGACATACTCTGGAAGGAAGATGTGTACATCTATTCTGCGAAGAAAAATATGGTGTAGCGTCTTAGCCAGGCAGAAGCTTAAAGAGAGGTCATATATTCTGCAAAGGCTTCTTTTGGAAGAATATTCATCACCTGTTCTCGATCATGTAGTTATTCTTTCCTGTTAAGTAAATAAACAAAAGAACTTGCATGAAATCTCTGCAAGAACTATTGTATCATTTTACTGATTACCATTTATCGGTGGATGTAGCGCTAATAAGACATTCTCAGTATTGACAGGTAAATACCCATGAAGAAGCATATAATCCTTTTTTTTAATTGAGTACCTTAAAAATTGCTATTGTAAAATAGCTTGGAAATTAAGAACAGTGTAAAAATAATCTAGTAAATAGTTGTTCCCCTTTGAGAACTAAAAAATTACTACTGTAGTTGAAGCCCCTGTGGACTCTCCCTGATTGCACCTCCAGAGGTAACCCTTATTTTGAATTTGATGATGAAAGGTATACAATCACATGGAAGTTCTTTCTGTTGGACAAACATGGTGACCTATAGAGCTACTCCAATATTCAATGCTTTGAACCTGGCTACTGGCAGTAGAAATTTGCAAAATAGAAAAAATGTTCAGAGAGAATTAGGATAATGAGCTTTGGCTTGTTCAAAGTGAAAATCTAGTAATGTTCTGATAAAACAGAGAATAACAAATGAAAATAGCTGCTCAAATAGCCAGACGTTTCTTTGAGATCAAGTCAATCTCAGTCCCATTCTCCTGATCTTGTTTACAACCTCTTTCCCCCATTATTCCAGCTGCCCCTCAAAAGGAACAAAACCTCGTAGGTGGAGAGCCGAGGGGCACATACCTTCAATTCTGTCTCTACTTTCTCCCTTCCCATTGCTTTCCCACAATATCAATCACTTTGTTCTTTGTAATAAAATACAAAAACTTCTTCATATTGTGGCTTTAAACTAAGCTTAAATGTGCTGTCTATAAATTTATAAATAGTCAGTCCCTTACATGTTTTTATAAGATAAGAAATATTGTCAAATAATAATTACATGTTTTTATCTGCTGTCAGTAAAGTGATAAGTTTCTGAAGAATATAAATGCACAGACTCTGCGCTAGTGTAGCCCAAGTTTTTTGAGACATGAAAGAGATCAAATAGTAACAACCCTAAGTAATGCTTTGAGGGGGTGTTTAATGGTAACCCACAGAAAGAATGTGACACTGTGAAATGAAGATGTGCTTCCAGCTTGTACTCCAAATAGGAATTGACACTTACTGTTGGCATTCCTTACATTGTCACACAATGCTGAGAATTCTCCCTGGGGCAGAGGCCTCCTTCTCCAAAGAGAACACAGAGAGCTTGTGTTAGAGAAAGAGATGCAAAATCACAACTGTTTTCCAAGATAATAGGCATTGTGCAGTATTTTGCAGATCATAACGAAGGACAGCAAAACCTTCAAAGGATATGGATTAAAGACAACTCAATAATTGAAGTTTGATTTTTTAAAAATAAATGTGTAAGCTCTAGTATAAGAATTATCATGGTTTAATAATATGGGGTCCAAAACAGGAAATAGACATTTCTGCAAAGACATTGTGGGACAGAAGCAACTCAGAACGTTCAGAAAAGGATCAAATAATGGCCATTATAAATGGTGCTAGAATATATATGCAGATCGGGAAACAAAGGGTAGCAGTAGTACCGACCTCTCTAACCACCATGCTCAGCTACCCACTTGCAGGTTTTGTGCTTCCAGAACTCATGATGCTAAACTCTGACAACTCAAAGGTTCTGCTTCCAAGGAGAAACATGTTGGTACCAAGGCACAAAAATTGTGTTCCACCGAATCTAAAACTACAACTGCTGCCTGGTCACTTTGGGCTTGTGGACCAGCAGATAAATAGAGGGGTTACCTTCCTGATTGAAATAATTGACCCTGATTATCATGAGGAGTTAGGACACTTATGGGGACTTGTGGTGTCTCTATGCCATGGGAAAATGGGAAATGGGCAATTTCAAAAACTGGCCAGATAAGGCAAAGGCAACCAAAAGCTCAAACCCGTCAGGGATGAAGGTCTAGTTTCCTCCACCAGGTAAGCAAATGAAATCAGCTCAATTTCAGACCAAGGATAATGAAAATCTAGAATGAATGTGAAGGAAGGAGATGACTAATATCAATAATTACCTAGGACCAGGGGCAGTCATGGGGAGTGTAGCTTATTCCAGTAAGACTCAGTTGACCAAGTGAACTCAGTTTGGAGCTCCACTGCATCTGAGTAGTGCAAGAGGCAGCCTTCAACATGCATTTATTGTTCTCCACATCACATACCCCTGAAAGTTCTTCTGATTTCAGTCACAACAGTGGGGAAGAGTTCTATACAATAATCTCAGCTGCACCTTGCACTGGTAGCTTCCCACCTGAAGAGCAGGCATCTTTCTGCATTCTGCTTTCACAGCTTTCCCCAAGGTAGTGGGAGTGTGCCTGACTAGTGCGCAAGAAGAGCTACAAGTAGGGGGTAGGAGTTAATGCCCCTGAGGGCTATCCTCAACCACTAGGTGAGGAGAACTGATGTTACATACTCCAGACTCCACGCCTTTAAGGGAGAATATTCTAGGAGGCATTCTGTCTACTTCCTGGAAGTTCCAGGGGAATGGAGACCCTCCCTGTTGCCCATAGCAGCAATTCAGTGAGGCATACTTACTTACACTGGCTTTCCACCATTCCCTGTTCCACTTCTCTACTTCCTTATTCTGGTGTCCTGGATCCCTTCATAGATGAACTACCAGCACCCAAGGCCTCGTCTCAGATTCTGATTTTAGGAAAACAAAAATTATGGCAATCCTTTTTTTTTTTAAAAAAAAAAAAGAGAGACGCAAAAAAATTCTTTTGTCTACAGAAATACATCTCTTTCTGGGAGTTCTATGGATTGTAAAAATATTTAGCTTTCCATTACCCAGTTATCCACATTAAAGTTCTTTGGTTTGCCTTTCTTTGATCCTATGTTGTCTTCTCTTTTTGGAAATAGCCAGTTACCCCCAGACACTGATCCTAGTTTGGTCACAGGACGGTGATAGGGCAGCCCCCGATGTTCTGTCCCTCACCTCCCCTGATTTTATGTTACAGTGAACAAAGCTGAGACACCAGCATACTTCTGGGCTATGTTTTACACTTGCTCAAGAGGTTACAGTACTGATGTATTTTTCCCAAGTGGCCTGATCTCACAGTCCCTGTGGTTAGTTGTGTTTGTATGTATTTGGCAATGAATCTAAACATCTAAGTGTGGTCTGCCTTTAGAAAACACTGGACTGTTGAGTCAGAGGGCCTTGATTCCTTTTTATGATTCTATTTATCATGTTGAGAAACCTCCTACCCTCTCTGGGCCGTTTTTCCATCTGTAATGGAGCTACCCAGCTCTTACCTGTATCTCAGACTAAAAGAAACAGAATTAATAGTAGTTCTAGGAGCCTCTTAGAAGCTTAAATTAGAAATGGCCCTAATTCCACCGCACTTTCCTGTGTTTAATATCTAAAGTGTTTCTATTAGTTGTTTTAATTTGATGTGGTTGGAAATATACTTTGGCTACAAAAGAAGTAAGAGTGATCTTTCATCCTTCTATTAACAGTTGAATTCTGATGCAGGGAGATTAAATTATTTATAACTGAGAGAAACAAAATCATTTAAAATACTGAATAGCATGTTAGCTCTTTACATGGCTTTCTGAACCTCATCCTGACCAAATCAACACCAGATTGCTTTCTAACAGCAAGGATGCATTCCTTTGGATAAAACAATGCATCAATCTACAGGACATTTCTAGGAAGTGAAGCATGGTATTCAAGAGTGCACTGTTAGGGCTTCCCTGGTGGCGCAGTGGTTGAGAATCTGTCTGCTAATGCAGGGGACACGGGTTCGAGCCCTGGTCTGGGAGGATCCCACATGCCGCGGAGCAACTAGGCCCGTGAGCCACAACTACTGAGCCTGCGCGTCTGGAGCCTGTGCTCTGCAACAAGAGAGGCCGCGATAGTGAGAGGCCCGCGAATCGCGATGAAAAGTGGCCCCCGCTTGCCACACTAGAGAAAGCCCTCGCACAGAAACGAAGACCCAACACCGCAAAAATTAATTAATTAATTAATTAATAAACTCCTACCCCCAACATCTTCTTAACAATAAAAAAAAAAAGAGTGCACTGTTAGAACATACATATAAACCTCTCCAGCACTAAAGCTCTGCGTATGAAAATATAGAGTGGGCAAGAGAGTAGACGTGTAGAAGCAAAGGATTGTACGTGTTGGAAAAGTTCCTTTCCTGTCATTTTACTTTCAGCAAGAGAGTGTGCGTGTGGGGTGGGAGGCGGTTTCTGTTTGTGCATTGTTAAGTTGTTCTTAAGAGGTAGTCTGCAGGGAGTTCCCTGGTGGTGTAGTGGTTAAGAATCCGCTTGCCAATGCAGGGGACACGGGTTCGAGCCCTGGTCGGGGAAGATCCCACAGGCCGTGGAGCAGCTAAGCCTGTGTGCCACAACTACTGAGACCACGTGCTACAACTACTGAAGCTCATGCTAGCGCCCGTGCTCCGCAACCACCGTAACGAGAAGCTGGCGCACCACAATTAAGAGTAGCCCCCACCCCCCGCTCGCCGCAACTAGAAAAAACCCGCGCGCAGCAATGAAGACTCACCGCAGCCAAAAATTAAAAAAAAAAGAGGTATTCTGCAATGAAAATTAACCTCCATGTATTTTTCTATTAGAGATGGCTTTTAGTTCTGCAGATTCTTTAAAGTTCGTTGATAAAGGCTATGGCCCGTTCAGTTATCTTAGGATCAAGCACTATAACCAGATCAGTGACTTATTTTATCTGCAACACTGAGGCGGGGGTGGAAATGGGGAAGGGTGGTGGCAGGGGTTATCTTTATTTGGAAGGAGAGGCAGAGGCTCTGGAGAGCAGGCTCTGGTTTGCCGGAGAGCTCTGACAAGGTTCTAGGTGCCAAGATGCAAGGAGAAGGAGGAAGCAAAAAGGCTTGGGAATGAAGGTAGGAAGGTGACAAAAAGAAAAATTGTTTAACAATCATGCCTTGGTAATTTTGCCTAGTGAACTCACAATATGTCCAGGTTAGTACGAAGGCAACAAAACTCCTCCCTATCAACTCATCCCAGTTTTCCCCGTCGAGTTTTGTCCCCACCTGCAAAAAGAGAGAAAGAGGTTAATTAAAAAGAGCTGTAAAAGTAAAACTCTATATATTACGACGCACACACACACACGAGTGTTTAAGCATATCCCTCTTCCCATCCTTAATTACCAGTATATTAAAAACATTAGGATACATATCCCCAAATATTAATCTTTTGTAATTATCATGCAATACATTAAGAAATGCACAGAAGAAATTGATGGTTCAGAACAAATGGGGATAATACTTATAAAATTGTTGTTAAAATTGGATGAAATATGCAACAGAGTGCCTGATGTGTGTGTATACTTTATATAGCTAGTTATGCTAATCTTTGTTCCAATTTTTAAATTGGTCTTCAAAAGTGTAATTTAATTTTTGGTAAGTTTCAAAAGATTATGTATGAATATTGCATTTGAATCCATCTTGAAATGTTTTAGGAGTACAGTTTTTTTTCTTGATTTGCTTTTAATTTAATACAATGCACAATGAAGAATGAATTTGCATTGTTTTCTCTTTTTTTTTATTGGGGTATAGTTGTTTTACAATGTTGTGTTAGTTTCTACTGTACAGTGAAGTAGAGTTCCCTGTGCTATACAGCAGGATCTTATTAATTATCTATTACAAGTACATTCTTGATGAAAGTGGCCATGTCTTAACACATTTATCTTGGGAAACAAGCGCTGAACAGCTTTCTCTGAAGTGTAGGAAGAATATCAAACGTGTGTCCTCCATCTGGTGTTACAAATGCTGTCTAAGGTCTTGGTATTGATGGCTACCTGCAAGCCCTTGCCATAAGGCAAGTAAAAATAGAATTTTAACAATTCACATAAAACATTTAGTTGGAAATTCTGGGCATACAGTGAGTCACGTTTGATTACGAATTGTAATTTATCTACACTATAATTAGACTGTCTAAATTATCTTCTTACTTACAAAGACAGATGCAGGAAAGACGTCTGTAGATTACTAAGTTCAACAATTTTATCTTATTTCTGCTTCTTTTCCTGAGATAAAAATCAAATATGTAGTAGAGTGTGCACATCAAGTCAAGTCTCTCTCAGTTACTTTGAAAAGTCTATGAGCTCACTCAAAAAATATAATTTTCTGTATTTTTGGCTAAAGTGTATACTCAGAACACCTTACTAAATTCCAGGCTGCAGTCTTCCAAGCAATGCTGGGCTGCCCCTAGTGCTGACCCCCTCTTGCTCTGCAAAAACAAACCAACCAACATGGAAGATGGTGTGTCAGTTAGAGCTGGGTTTTGAAGCTCAGTTCAGAATCAGCTAGAAAATGTCAGCAGGGATGTGTTTGGATCTTTCCATTGAAGATTAAATTAATTCTTTCCTTTATCCGATGGTATCATGAGCGAAAGCAGTGATGGTAGTAAAAGGTACTATTATGTCCTTACTGTGCTCCAAGCAGGATATTCAGCAATTTACACACACATTCAATTCTCACAAAAACCTCCATGAAAAAAGTTTGATAATCTTGAAGTGACTTATCCAAGCTACTCCACTATTAAGTTAAACTGGAATACCAAACTTCTGACTCTTATGCTAAGACTCGTAACCACTATACTACAATATGGTAGTTCTTAAATGCTCAGTCCCATGGTATTAATTCTTTTTTTTTTTTTTTTTTTTTTTTGCAGTACGCGGGCCTCTCCCTGTTGTGGCCTCCCGCTATTGTGGCCTCTCGCGTTGCGGAGCACAGGCTCCGGACGCGCAGGCTCAGCGGCCATGGCCCACGGGCCCAGCCGCTCCGCTGCATGTGGGATCTTCCCAGACCGGGGCACGAACCCGTGTCCCCTGCATCGGCAGGCGGACTCTCAATCACTGCGCCACCAGGGAAGCCCCGGTATTAATTCTTTTACCATTTATTCAAGTATTATCTACCAGTTGCAATCAATTGCCAAGCATTTCTTCTAGAATTACATTACCTAGCCTGGAAAGCATTTTTCACTGCCTGGAAGGAAGGTTTTGAGACTTCAAGGATTTGGAAATAAGAGGAAGAAGTAATGAATTAGTCATGATCTTATAAAACATTTAATCTGAGGCTTTCCTGACAGGATCTTATATGATTTACAGTTTTCTCTCTGTTTCAGGTAGAAGAAAATAAAGAGGAAAGGGTTCTGAAACTGCTTTACAAGTGTTCAGGTAAAAAAAAAATAATTGCTAACTAACCAATTTATAAAAGAGGAAAAAGGTAAAGATTAGAGATTTTTCTCAACCAAGCATACTAGGCCATATACTACTTGAAGTGTTCAATGTCAAGGATGATATATTAACCACTTTTATTGAGACTAACCTTGAAAAAAATCATCTAGACACATTTAACAACCTTCTTGCCCATTTCAAACACATAAGGCTTGCTTTTCTATCTTCTTCCAGACAATGGACAATTGATTATTAGGTGGACCACCTACACTTTGGACTATTATTACCGCGGATTTTTGCTGCAATATCTTCTTGCTGTTTAATTCATTTTCCATGAACGCAGAGCCATGAAGGATATGGATTTGGGGCCATCTTGTGACAGATTTAGAAAAGTCCTGGAGACCGAACCCTGGGATTGGAATTTTGGTTTCTATTACTAAATTGTTACCTTTCAACAAATATATTTTGCAAAAGGGTTTCGTATGGTAATGGCTGATTTTTACTAATGAAAGGATGGTTACCAGTGTTATGCTATAGTCAGTTACACATATTGACTTGTTTCTATGTGCCAGCCACTGCCATAAGCCATCTACATATATTATATCATTTTATGCTCACAACAATCCTATGAAGTAAGCGCCATCGTATCTCCATCTTACAGCTGATGCAACTGAGGTTTAGAGAGAATAAACAATTTGCGTAAGTTCTTGCGGAGAGCAAGAGAGATCTTAGGAAGCCTTAAAATGCTCTGGCTGAAGATGTGGGAAAAAAAGTTGTTCTGTATGAAAGTGCAAAAATGACATAAAAATATTAAGAGGTAAATCAACATAGTACCCTTTAGGAACGTTTTAAAGCTTCAAATTGCATTTAATTAGCATATTTTGGATTACAGGCTCTGTATTTATAAATGCACAAAATAACAGAAAAATGCAAAAATCCTGGAAGAAAACCAAAGAACTGATAATATTATGAATAAACTCAACAGAATAGAAATTAAAAAGCATAAATAATTACATGTCCTATACTTATACCCCTATGATCCTATTTTTGCCCTTCCTGTCATGCTAAAAGATGATTTGTGTGTCTATGTGTGTGTGTGTGTGTGTGTGTGTGTGTGTGTGTGAAACAAAGGAGCACATATTTTCTAGTTAAAATTAGTACTAAATACTCTTGAATTCTATTTTCAGTGTACTGGAATTGTCATTGAATCATGTGTCCTATATTTTTTCTTCAGGAATTGCAGACAACATCTTCAAAAGTAGAATTATTAATTTCCCCCTATGTTGTCTGAACTTCCTATCTCCAGTGATGGCAGTAGACATGGAATTCCACTGCTCAGATGCCCCTTCATAAAAGAACTTGCTGTTTCTGCTGCAGGGAGCTGCTTTGACCAAGGTCGTGGCCTTCCTGGAGCAGCCTGCCTCCAGTAGCTCAGTGACAGTGCAAAGGTGGGTCATTTCAGATCTAGGTGGGATGACAATATTTGCTCTGGGGCTTGCCCGGCTGGGTTATCTAAGTCTATGTAAGGTTTGCAAAGCAATTCGACTATTCTCCTCTGCCCAATTCCACTTCCTCACACTTCTTTTCTTAGGTTTTGATCCTTAATAAATGTCTTGAACTCCAAAATCATCTCAGAATTTGCCTCCTGTTTTTTTTTTATTGTGATAAAAAGCACATGACATCAAATTTACTACCTTAACCATGTTTAAGTGTACCTTACAGTAGTGTTAACTGTATGTGTTTTGCTGTTCAATAGATCTCCAAAACTTTTTCATCAGAATCTGCTTCCTGAAAAGTCAGTCTGTGATCATACTTTCTCTAATGATCTAAATCTTTTTCGGATGTTTTGAAGTGCAGTTCTTCTTTCTTGGTAATACCCTGAACAGTTTTGCAATATGAAATTGTGAGATTGAAAGATGGCAGAAACCACCTAATGCAGAGTATTTGCAATGATCACACCTCATTTTTTTAAAATGTGGTCTGTGAATGTTTTTCATTCACATTCTTTTTTCTAGCCCACATGAGAAGTAGATAGGAATTGGAAGGCTTTCTCCTGAGAAGTTGTAAGCAGACAGCTAAAGGTATTTTTTATTGAGAGGCCAAAAGCAATGTGGCAGGTATCTAACAAAGTTTTTACATAAAGTTTTCAGTCCTGAGAATCACATTTGGAGTTTTAGAGTTAACTGTGTTCACTCAAAATTCGAGTTTTAGAGTTAATTGTGTTTACTCAAAATTGATGTCACATCAAAACTCCATGCTTCGGTATCTCTATCTATAAAATGAGAAGGCTAGGCTATTCACAGTGGTTTTCAATACTATTGTGATAATTTAAAGATGGCTGAGAATTTTTTGCTACTCCTTCCATTGAAAGGTAGAATCTAATTGCCCTCCTCTGAAACTGAGTTGATGTTAGTGACTTGCTTAACAAATAGGATGTGGTACAAGTGATATGACATGACTTTTGAGCTAGAACAGATAAAGACTTGCAGCTTCACCTTAATCCCTAGGACCACTCCTCCTGGGAGTCTCTGAACAGACCAGTGTTTTCCCGGGGACTTGAGAGGTAGGATTGGAGGGAGAGATTACAAGTGGCAGGAGGGTGATGAAACTTTTGAGGGTTAATGGATATATTTATTACCAAGATGAATGGTTTCTGGTAATGCAACAATCTGGTTTCATAGACATACATGTATATCAAAGATCATCAAATTATATGTTTTAAATTTGTGCAGTTTTTGTAGGAAAAGTATGCCTCATCAAAGCTGGAGAAAGAGAGAGAGAGAGATTGATTAACTCAGAGAATTTCCTCAGATGCCAGAAAGTCTGGTCCAGAGGACCCATAGCTGGAAAAAA